GGAAGCAGTTCTGGGGGAATGACGTATGGAGGTCAGCTTTGCACATGCGCCGGTCAGAAGTGACGCACGCGGAAGCGCAGGGGAGAGATCAAAACAAAACACCGGTCACTAATTAGAAGTACAAAACGAGGATTTGTAAAGAAGAATGTCGGAGGATTTCGATATACGCCAAGAGGAGACTGGTTTTCCTTTGCTAAAGTAAGGAAACTTTGTTTCCTTTGCTCCTGTTAACAAACGTTGGTTTTCACGAGACTCACCGGCGCATGCTGACCTCAGAGGTCATCCACCCGGAACTGCTTCCGTGTACAACTGTTGGCGCAAGCTACATTAAAGTGATTATTACGTTTTGAATATGGATATTTTTCTTACAAAAACGCATCGATTCGCTACAGGAGGCCTTTGTTCACCTCCCGGAGCCATGTGAGAAATTTTTTTTTATGGATGGGCACTTTTTATTTAACTTCTTTCGGACTGATGCATGCAACACCCGCAGAGTGGCATTAAACAGCTTGAAAAATCTAAGACAGTTTTTATTATAACTCCGACCGGATTCGTCTGAAAGAAGAAAGTCATATACGCCTAGGATGACTTGAGGGTGAGTAATTTATGGGCCAATTTTAATTTTTGGGTGAACTAACCCTTTAATCTAGATTTAACTTGAAGGGATAGTGATAAATTACAGCAAAGATTAACCCATTTAACACAACTCTAGAAATGTTCTTGCCCTTTAAGGGCATGTTTCAGAAAAATAATATAGATATATCATGATTATTTTGCTCACAATAATGCATCAATACTGCGGGTATCAATATGTTTTATTTATATGGTCATTCATTCAGTTAATTTAATAAAAAAGCATGTAAAACCAACATTCAGAAGTAACATATCACAGAAATAACTAAACTATTGGTTTTAGTTTTTAGTATCTGTATACAGTATATAGTCTAAAAAGCATAATATTAGCTATGTATTGGTTATCGTCCATTATATTTAGAATAACTATCATACTCATGTTGGCCAGTAGATCTGCACATCTCTAATGCCAATAAATGATGAATGGAATTAGCAGTTTCAGATAAACTCCTGATAACTTTGGTACTTCTCAAAATATTATGCAAGCATCAGGACAGCAAAAGAAGAATTTAGCACGAAATGCACGAAAATTCATAGACGTGTAATTACAGCATCACCTAGTGTCAACTTTTAGAACAAAGTTCTTCAAGAAGAGAAATTTGCTGTGAAATGTAGCAAATTATTTCCACTGATGTTAAGGTGTGTCATCTGATGCTTTAGGTACAGGAAGGTTTCTGGAGACAGCTGCAGTGGGGGAGATGTTGAAGCTCGGCTGGATGGAGAAATGCTGCCCTGTCCTGTGGGAGGTACAGTAAGATCCTCCTCTTTGCTTATACAATCATATTCTCTAAGCTCTTTTATGTAACACAACACAATCCTATGGGATGCAACATGAAGTTGTGGAGTCAAAGTTCATAACACGGCCTCAAACTAATAAAAAAAAAAAGACTTCACAAGACTAATAATGTTAGTGATACAAAAAAGGAATTATTTATTTTCTTTTACATTACATGCAAGTTTGTCTTTTTTTAATGCGCTACCGTTCAAAAGTGTCAGCTAGAAAATGAATCAAAAGTGACAGTAAAGATATTTACATGACCAAAAGACAATACATGACCAAAAAAAGTCCTTTATATTAGATGGGATAGTTTAGTGGTACAGTCCTTGTTTAGTGTGAAATGTAAAACAGGTTTAAATCCTGACTTGAACCGTAAAATAAACCAAGCAAATTGCAACAGAACTGATTATAATGCATTATGTTGTATGATAAAGAACAGTTGTGACATTTTATTTCACAGGGAAAAAGTTGCAAGAATATTGAGCAAAATAAGGGTGGAGAAACAAGTCAAATATATTTATATTGCACATTTTAAAGCAAGTTGATAAAAATAATAATAATAAAAATGAAAATGTAAATGAATTAAATAACAAATACGATTTGTATACTTTTAAAATAAATTTATACTTTTATTAAGCAGGGACACATTAAATTGATAAAAAGTGACGGTAAAGATATTCATAATGTTACAGAAACTTTCTATTTCAAATAAATGTTGTTTTTTTTAAACTTTATATTCATGAAGGACTCCTGAAAAAAGTATCACCATTTTCACAAAGATGTCAAGCAGCACAACTGTTCATATTAGAATGATTTTCGAAGGATCATGTGACACTGAGGACTAGATTGATGGCTGCTTAAAATTAAGCTTTGCCATCATAGGAATAAAATGCATTTTAAAATAAATTCAAATAGAAAACAGCTATTTTAAGTTGTAATATTTAACAATATTACTGTTTTTACTGCATTTTTCACTGGTGAGCAGAAGAGACATCTTTCAAAAAAATCTTACCAACCCCAAACTTTTGAACAGTAGTGTACATTTAATATGCTGAAGGTCTATATCTGTCATTCATAGAATTTTTGTTTGCTCACTGATCATTGCATCGATTTGGATCTTTTGACCTTTATAGAAATGCCATTTACTCAAAAGAGTGGCGTTCATCTAACCACAGCATTGACTGCAACATTCTGACCTGAACCTCTTAAGACACGTTGACATTGACATATTTTAAATGAGGCATAAATCTATCTTTAACTTTTTTTTTTTTCCATTTTGGAGTTAGAACACAGTTTTTTTTTTTACAGGCGAACTTAAAATGCTTATCACTGAAGACATACTAACTGTATGCATATGCAAAATATAGTTTAGATTAGACCTTTTCACTTCTCTTCTTGACTCTTTGACTTATGGGATCTCATTTTTACTAATAATTTCATGATTCTGTTTAGTTGTTTGGTAGCAAAAAACACAATCAATCCTGTTTTTAACCCAATCAAAGACACATTTGTTGGTTATTTAAAAAAGGATATTTGGAAATGCATTTTAGGACACAACGTGACATAAAAATCCCGGTAATGTCTACAATTGTGTCTGAATGTGTGTCTATAGTATAAGCATGAATGTGTACAATACAGCAATGCCTCAATATGACCACGCTGAGATTACATGATGGACTGATTTCTACAATGAAAGCTGAGTAAAGTAATGTGGACAGTCAGTCCTTAAGATGGGATTTGAAAGTCAAATGAGGATTGTTGGGAGTGTGATCAAAGCCCATCTCCCCACCGAGCTGTTCTTAAGAGCCGTCGCTGTCTAGACTGCCTCTTCTCTCCAGCATTGTGGCACTCAGCCACTTGACCGCGCTTCAGTGGCCACATTGATTGTCTTGCTTCTCTGACTAGAGGACGCTGGGAGTAAATAAGCAGCCCTTTCAGAAGCTGAGATCTCATCCAGCGGGAAAAGGAAGTGATGTGACTCTCAGCCGTGCCATCAGTTTTCTTTAACGATTTGCAGTGAAACAGAAAATGGAAAGCCTTTCCAGAAGGGTGCAAGCTGTTAGCAAGGAACAACTCCCTTTTAGTGCCAATGGTTTTGAAATTAAATGCTCACATGGGAGTGTTCGGGTGAAATATGTAGTGTATTTCTCTGGAATGAGTCTTTATTTCACCTCTTAACTAAGACCTCTTGCCTACTTTTCTTTTTTAGAGAGTAATGAGTTTATCCTGTATGCGGTGAGGAGCTCCATTCACCGCTATGACCTGGCCACAGGTACAGACCAGCCGCTTCCACTCTCGGGTCTCCATGAAGCCGTGGCTCTGGATTTTGATTATGAGAAGAACTGCCTATATTGGGCTGATATTTCACTGGACACCATACAGGTGAATAAACGTCCTTCACTCACATAAATATAGGGATCTGTACCATATATTAGAGCTGCACGATTAATCGTTAAAAGATCGCAATCTCGATTCAAACACCCATGCAATCCCGTTTTTAAATGACAATGATTCGCGTGTGTCTATTAAACATTTGAAACAATCATACCGGAACATTCAAATCTGTGTTCACTCTGCTGCTGACACAGAGAGCAGACATTTACCATGTTTGGGTAAGAAACAGCTTCACAAACAGTCTTTTCAACTACACAGCGCCGATCCTCCTTATACGCAAAATACGCAAGCTGCGTAGGGCCCCCGAAACACCAGGGGGCCCCCTTACTCTCAAAGATGATTTAATTCTAGTTTCGTTTTTAAATTTGACCAGCGGTTATGAAAACATGAATGATCCTTTCTTTTAATGCGGTGCGCTGTCGCCCTTTCTACGTAAAAATCAGTCAAATCATGTAATGTGAATGTCGTACAGTCTTGCTCGAGACTAAAAAAACGAGTTGAAAGCATACCGAGCCGCGGAAGAGACACTGTTACTTAAGCACTTTCCGCGAGCGCGATTCGAGACTGATTGAAACACGGACAAATGCATTTCATTTATTCGTTCATAACCACTCATACCCCACTCCAACCCCCAACCCCCACCACATGTATTTGACATGGAATCATTCATTCAAGAGATTCGTTCAAAAACACTGATTCATTCAGTAATGAAACAAGTGAAGTATTTATGAGTGAGTCATTGAATCATTCAGTTAAACCACTTTTTCAATATTAAAAATGGGTGTATTAAATATATTATATTTTAAATATATATTCAAATGTTTATTAATTCATTCAAATTAATTAAACACTTATAAATAGACTGCAACAATAATTTTTTGTCACATTATTTTGTTTAGTTCAGAATCGTGAGAGAATCGTGTTCTCTATTTGAGACAAAAAAATTGTGATTCTCAATTTATCCAGAATTGTGCAGCTCTACCATATATATATAGGGGCTTTTTCACCCGTGCAACTTTTTCATAGTTCCTAGAACTATTGGCGGAAGTTTCGGTTTTTTTCGCGTGTTCGCACCGCAGGAACTAGGAACATATTTAGTTCTAGTACGCTGATACATTCCATCTCCGTTATCATGAAACTCCGATCACGGCGTTGTCCATTCACAGATTGTTGACGTTTGTGAATGCCGCGAATAAATGTCGCTGTCGGCTGCTTCAGAGTTCCTGCTGCCGCTGCGAATGCAACCAGGAAAACGGCCCGAGGGAGAAATTGGTTCTCTAGGAACCACCCTTCTGGCTAGTTCCTAGAACTGAGTTCTTAGATGTACGTGGTGTGAAAGCGCCTTATAGTGACAAGAAAAGATATAGTGAAAAGATATAGTGAAAAGATATTGGCTTATAGTGACCAACTAAAGATTTCTGCTTTAGTTGGTTATAAAATGTCATCTGATCTGCATCGAAGTTACAAGTATGGACAAACACAATGTGCTTAAGCTAACAATGTCTTTATTGAACACATCACATTAAAAATTCACAGTGCTGTGGAAAATTAAGTGAACTTTTAAGTGATCTGGTTGTCATTACCTGGATTAATCACAACTTTGTGGTCATGAGTTGTTCATGAGTACTTTTGTTTGTCCTGAGCAGTTAAACTTCCCAGAAAAATCATCCTGGTCTTATACATTCTTTGTTTTTTACTAGAATATTCTGCATATTTGAACCCTTTTTGTTTTTTATTGTATTGGCTAATTTTGGATATTTAATTGGTGTTTGTTTGTTCACTTTCATTATAATGTTGTGATACCAAAAGCATCAGCAGTTAAATAATTAAAAAAAACTTTAATTTTCTTTTCCTTTTATTTATTTATTTATTTTTATAAAAAATATTGTGAAAATAATATAAAAAATCAGAAATGTAAAAAAAACTTTATTAGATTAGATAATTAAAAAATCTAATAATAACAACAACAACAATAATAATAATAATAATAATTATTATTATTATTATTACAATTTATTAGGCATTTATTAATTTTATAAGGATTTTCTTTGATTTTGTGTTGTAGAGACTCTGTTTGAATGGAAGCTCTGGACAGGAAGTGATTGTCAGAAAGGACTTACAAAACGTGGAGGCGCTGTCATTTGACCCCATCAGCCGGTTGCTGTATTGGGTGGATGCTGGTGCTCAGAAAATCGAGGTAACCACAGGTTAAAACAACTACAGCAGCATCAATTACAGTTGTTCGTTCCTGTAGTCATCCTCACACTGTCTCTCTTCCAGGTGTCCAACTCTGATGGAGACCTGAGACTCACTCTGGTCAATTCTTCAGTGGTGGAGCAGCCTCGAGCCCTGACGCTCATGCCAGGAGAGAGGTGCGGTGTTCCCACAAATCACTTGTTTTCCTTAACAATCTGCATGCTCCCTTCACCCTGACCACTAAGTTGCTGTTTCTCTTAGCTTGATGTTTTGGACAGACTGGGGCGATCGTGCAGCAGGCATCTACCGCAGCTGGATGGACGGTTCCAACATCGCCTGCATTGTGTCTGAGGCAGTTCGCTGGCCCAACGGCATAACGGCCGATGAATCATGGCTGTACTGGACGGAGGCATATGGAGACCGCATTGAAAGAGCAGACTTTAATGGAAGCCGCCGTACTGTGATAATGGAGGACCTGCCGCATCCTTATGCTATTGCTGTTTTTAAGGTAGGCCCAATGTTATCACTTCTTGGTATGTTGCAACTGATATTAAACTGTCTTTAATGATCATAAACACTTTGTTGAACTGGTGTTTGTTGGTGTAGAATGACCTGTACTGGGATGACTGGTCTAGAATGGGAATCTTCAAAGCACCTAAATCAGGCTCACCAGACAGTGAGATGCTAGTGGGCAGACTGACAGGAGTGATGGATCTCAAGATCTTTTACAAGGGAAAAAACAGAGGTCAGTCCTTAAGGGAAGACAGTCCTTCTGAAACACATGGGAAATACACCTTTAAAGACCATTATAGAGCTTGCAGGGCTTTTCTGTTTTCCACTTGTCAGCTTGTATTGTATAAATTGAATGTTTAAAATAATTATTTTCATAAACTCATTTTATAATTTATTGTTGTTATCATTATTAGTCATTTCTAAATATATACATTTACTTGCATTTTATTGGACAATTATTTGCATGCAAAGAATTTGCAATAGGTTTATTATTATCGTTAACCAAAACTAAAACCATAAAAAACATTTTCATTACTTGAGATATGATGAACGTTAACTGAAATAAAATAAAATACTTAAACGTAATGTTTTTTAATTGTAGCTAACTGCCAAGGCAGCAATTTTGTTTTTTAGTTTAAGTTGAAGTACTAAGATAATTAAAACTAAACTGAAACTAAAACGATATCCTAAAATTAAAAAAAAAAACATAATATCACTAAACCTTTAACTAAATAAAACACAAAATATAAAAATTAAATTCAAAATACTAACAAAAGATATAATAGTATAAGATGAGTCCTCTATATATATTTTTTATTTTATTTTTTTACACAAGAATAGAGAAATAAATTTTTAATGTGTGTATTTTTACACACTTTATTTTATTTTTGCAACTTAATTTTTTAGTAGTAAAAAAGCTAACAAACAAGCAATAAAAGCACAAAACTACAATATTGATTTCATGGGCTCAGCTTCATACAGTGGCCCCACTGGTTTACTTGGGATACAGAAATAGTTTTTAAAGATTTTTTTCCCTCTCCTTTAGGTCAGAATGCTTGTGTGGATCAGCCATGCAGTCTTCTGTGTCTTCCCCAGCCTGGAAACAAGCATCACTGTGTTTGCCCCGATGGAGTTTCCACCACCATCTTACCCTCAGGAGAGCATCAGTGCCAGTGTCCCGGTGGATACCAGCTCCGCAATAATACATGCGTTAAGACAGGTCTGACAGACTCAGAAGTGTCAGATATCAAAAGCTCTAAATGCTAAATAAACATTTTTATGAAATTGAAATGGATTTCTTTGCTTTTATTGACTCTCAGAACACACCTGCCTGCCAAACCAGCACCGCTGCACTAATGGGAAATGCATCAGCAGCATCTGGAAGTGTGACAGTGACAACGACTGCGGCGACATGAGTGATGAACAGGAGTGCCGTGAGTGACATCATCAGCCCTGTCTCGTTTAAAATGCACAGAAAATGTGTATGATCTGTGTTTCATATATTTTTCTCTCTCTGCAGCCACCACTTCCTGTGACTCTGCGGTCCAGTTCCGCTGTGTGGCCTCAGGGTCCTGCATTCCACTGGCCTTCAAGTGTGACCATGAGGATGACTGTGGAGATAACAGTGACGAGGAGCATTGTGGTATGTGTTTGTGTATAGGGCTATATGTCAAATATTCATTATATATCTGAGATGATTTTGTTGGTGATATAAAATTAAGCAGTATCACAGTATTTTAATGCACTATTTAATTAATCTTTAAGTTTCCTAAAGAACACATCTCGCAACTTGCAAATAAAAAGTTGACCGATGTTTTTTTAAGTTTCTCTGAATAAATATTGTTATTGTTAACTAAAACTAAACTGGTAAAAAAATATGAATTTAATAAATTTTTGGCCTTTGCAACTAACTGAAATAAAATCAGTTTGTTGAGTGCTACATTTAATAAAAATGAGATAAAAGTAAATCAAAGATGAATAGAAATGTTTTTTTAAATTATACAATTATACAAATGAAAAATTATAATGAAAATGACAAAAGCACATGACAAAATTGCAAAAATTAAAATAAATTATTAGAAATATAAATAAATACAATAAGAATATATAAATAATTCCAAAATAACACTGCTCTGAATTAAACTTAAGGAGCTAAATTTACTAAAAGTGAGATAAAAGTAAATCAAAGTTGAATAGAAATATTTTTTATAAAATTATAAAAATGGTGTATGTTCATGGAAGAAATGTGAAGATAGTCATTTTTTATTAATATTGCTGTGTACATTGCTATGTATAAATGATTATATTACTGTATATAAATACAATTAATTAATATAATTTTTCTGTTCGTTAGTTGAAAACTGTGTCAAAGCGTGCCTTAATTATTTTGAACAAGATTTACTTTTTGCATTAAACATTTTGCATTTGCTTGGCAGCAGAGTGTTTTGTTGATATGGCATTTCCTTGGATTGAAAAAAAATGACTTTTTTTTCAGCTCTATTTTATTTGTTTTTAGTTCAGTTAAAGTAACATAAATGCAGTGCTCATATTGTATCTGCTTTCTTTTAGAATCTCACAAGTGTGGACCGGGGGAGTTCACCTGTGCAAGAGGTGTGTGTATTCGGGACGCGTGGCGCTGTGATGGAGACAACGACTGCAGGGACTGGTCAGACGAGGCCAACTGTACTGGTGAGAGAAAAGACACACATTTACACACCGGTGCAAGAAATATGCAGTGAAATACATCACATCTACATCTTCAATGTCTCTCTCTTCCTCATTCTGTCACATAAAGTGGGTCACCACACGTGCGAGAGCAGTAGTTTCCAGTGTCACACGGGTCACTGCATTCCTCAGCGCTGGGTGTGTGACGGAGATGACGACTGCCAGGATGGCTCCGACGAGGACCCAACCCAGTGTGGTCAGTCTCAAACACTGCCTTACTGACCCTCATGGCATTTGACGTTTTTCTATGGAAGACCAAATGCATCAGCATCGGTTTCTCTAATCATGTTGCTCACCCATGTATAATTCTGTGCAATTTGGCATCTTTCGATTTTGTCCTTCAGGTAAAGAAAAGTGCAATGGCTTCTTGTGCTCTAATGGCACCTGTCTGCCTGCTAGTGCTCACTGCAATGGTGTGGAGGACTGTCCAGGAGGCGCTGATGAGCAAAACTGCGGTATTGCTTTTTATATAAAGGGTTAGTTCACCCAAAAATGAAAATTCTGTCATTATTTACTCACCCTTGTGTTGTTCGAAACCCGTAAGACCTTCGTTCATCTTCAGAACACAATTTAAGATATTTTTGATGAAATATGAGGGTTATCTGACCCTCCCATAGACAGCAAGGTAACTACCACGTTCAAGGTACAGAAAAGTACCAAGATGATCGACAAAGTAGTCCGTGTGACATCAGTGGTTCAACTGTAAAGAACAAAAACAAAAATAACGACTTTATTCCACATTTTCGTCTCATCACATGTCATCACGCCGGATCTGGGTCAGCGCCAGCGCCGCCACACGCTCGTGTCATGGTATTGTCGTGAACGCGCGTCCAAAGTGACGCAGTAGAGACGAAAATGTGGAATAAAGTCGTTATTTTTGTTTTCTTTGCGCAAAAAAGTATTCTCTTAGGTTCGTAACTTTACAGTTGAACCACTGATGTCACACGGACTACTTTGTCGATCATCTTGGTACTTTTCTGGACCTTGAACGTGGTAGTTACCTTGCTGTCTATGGGAGAGTCAGAG